ACAGTCGCGACGCCCGATACCCGATACGTACCGGTCGATACTACCGATACCGATACTCCGCGGTCGATACCGTTACGTTACCCAATACCGCGATTTAGAACTACAACCCTCTAACATGCAAAATTTTACTGTCTTGACATGTTCATTTTTAGGAAAAACCACGAGCTTGCGAGTAGGCTCCTCTGTGATCCAGCTCATCATTCATTTTAGTGCAACTGACACATATACCTTATCATCCCCCCTCGAGCACATGGGAGCTGGAGAAACCATAAGCTTGCGAGTAGGCTTTTGTAACAACCCCGTCACATATTATGCTTTTAATTATTAATTTTGAATATTGCTTAAATGCTTAGCGTGAATTTTAATGTTAATTATGTGTTTAATGTGATTTTTGGCTTCATATCTATTAGCTGTATGAATATCTATTGTGATTTTTGCTAGAATCTGAAATTGAAGGTCTTAATGGCTTCAGAAGCAAAATTGACTAGTTCAATAGACTGATTGGAATATTTAGAATTTTATGGCAAATTTAATTAGAATTTTTTTTCGGATCAAAATACTTAGAATAAATTAAGTGGACTTGATTAGAATTAATTAGCCTAGGCTAGATTAATTGGCCTAAGCTAATCCCACTATATATATAGACAATATGAGTTTAATGAAACCATTTTCTCATCATCCTTTGAGTTAAACACCTGTAGAGAGGGAGTAGAATTGTGAAGAAAAAGGGGAAAATTGAGGAGATTAAGTTACCAAGCCTTCAATTCAAACTCTAGGTGGAATTTAACCATAATTCTTATAGATTATCCATGTAGAATTTAAGTTCATCAAGATTGTAGGATCACTTGCATGAATTTGAGAGGAATTGAGTTGAATTTGGAACATGCATGTACATTAATGTCAGTTTTGTTGTAGTGATTTCATCATCTTCAAACTTGATTTTCCAACAATTCATTTTTTTTTTGCTACTAGGGAGAGAATTTACTTTCCCTTCATTTGTGAAGCAAATCATACCATAATAGAAAGCTATTGTGATGATGAGAGAATGGTGTTATCTTCACACAGGCAAAGCGTTGATGTCGATTAAGGCGTCGTTTAGCAACATAGCAACTGTGTTGCTGGACTGGGATGATGTTCACAACGATGATTTCTTTGCTAATTAGAGACCTGAAGAATCTACAATCCATGTATGCTTTCTTTGCTAATCCTGTTGATTTGGTGTTCTTGCTCATTGTAACCAAGTTTACATAATACTAACTTTAGATGTTGTTGTTGAAATATTTTCAGGGATTTTCAAGGGAACAAATTAACTGGTCAAATTCCTGATGAGATAGGCAACTGTGTTTCTCTGATGCTGGTGTAAAATTTCATCTTCTTTCTTCATTGCAATTTTATTTACATATATGTGGATGTATTAATATCTTCTTCTGTAACTACCGCTGCAACCCCTTCTTTTGAAATGGAGAGTTTCTATTTGCTTTGACTGTGTGCACATAAATTTCACAATCCTTTCATACAGGTTTTCGATGAAGATGTTGGGCAAGACAAACGATTGGGCATAGCAAAATTAAAGCTGATTGAGCTGGAAGCTAAAACTCCAAAAGAGGTTGAAGTGAGACTCTTTCCATCACTTGATATGCTTAAAATAAAAGATAAGAAGGATAGAGGAACTCTTACTGTTAAGGTACACATTTCAATTTATGTTCTTAGATCTCTTCTTCATTCTTGAATATTTTTTCATTTGTAATCAACCTATTTTACATGGACTCGGATACAGAGGTGTGAGTGCATGTTTGTAGGTCGGACTCATCAAATTTCAAATTTATACATATTCGGACTGGCAAAAAAGTGTCATATTTTTAATATTTTTAAACTACTATATAAGATAAAATAGCGTTATAAGTAACATACAATGTCAAAAATAATTTCTCATTTCTGTAACAATTATACAACAATATATATATATATATATAATACAAATATGTAAGACATGTCTGATGGAAAATATCAGACACGTATTCCATACCTTGTCCAAGTGTCGACACGGAAATTTAATTTTATTTTAAGAGTCCATGTAACATAGTAATCAACTGCCATGGTTTCCTGCATCTCTGTGGCTTTACAACCACGTGTCTTAATGGTGATTTTCTTAGATGCTGAAATTTGTATTTAGTGTTTCCTAGCATTAATTCTCTCCGTCGATAATATTTATTTAGCGTCTGGTTTGGTGTTTGTTAGGAAAAGAATGCTATTATTTGTTTATTTATTAGGAAAATAGTGAAATTTTCAGGTGTTGTATCATCAATTTAATACAGGAGCAATTGGCCGCCTTAGAAGCTGAAAAGATGATCCTAGAAGAGAGAAAGAAACTGAAAGCAGCAGGAGTTATAGGAATTGGATGATTCAGGTATATAATCATCATTTTGGTGAAGATGATTGATGACTTGATGAAGCTGAAGAGAGCTATGGATGAAGTTATTTTCAGAGAATTTGGAGAGCACACTGAATATTATTATTTTTATGATTTTGTATTGTCATATTGTATTTAAAGGAGTTTTATTTATTTATTTATTTTATGGAAAATTGAAAAATGAATGCTCATTCACATTATGGTATATATTTTGAGAATGGTGATGGATGATATAGGTTTGGTTTGAACAAAAGTTAAAAGCTCATTAATTATGATTTTTCTTTTTTTTTTTCAAAAAGATGAAAGAAATGGTGGCGTTTTTTTTAAAAACGTCGCGAAATGTCGTCATTATGACGTCAGAGATAACTCCATGACGTCAGAGATAACTCCTTTAACGTGGATAGTTAACTGCTGGAAAGAATTAGTGGCGTTTTATAAAACGTCGCCTAAAGTCTTTAGTGGCGTTTTTAAAACGTCACAAAGATACAACGACGGCCGCATCATCGACGAATTTTATAAACGTCGCTTTATCTTTTTGCCGCGTTTTTCTAGCCTATAGCGGCGTTTTATAAACGCCGCTAATTCTCGATTTTCTTGCAGTGTTGATTTTTGTTGCTATAGAGCATTAATTTAATTTAATTTAATAGGTACTGCTAAGAAAAATAATATTTACTGGTTTTATTTCTTCCCAAATGCTTAAAGTTTATTACTTTAATTCTAAATTGATTCCACATAGAAAATTGTATTTTGCATCCCAACTTTAACATTTAGCAATATTTTTCATTATTAATTTGTCAAACATGTGTATCGGAAGCTAGCTTATTGGTTAGTCTACTATATACACTAAAATATTCCACCCACCAATTGTGTTACTTATTATTGATTAGTCTCTTGTATACATGGACAAAATGGATTGGAAGTATGGGAGAGTTGGGGGTAAGGAACCCGGTCAACTTGAACATGTGATCAAAGAATCCAAGAATTTTAAATATTGTTGTAATTTCCTTTCATATAAAATTTACATCTTCTCAATCCTTATTGAACAAATTTAGCTTTTGTTTAATTGTTTGCATACAAATTAGTATATCAACCTTGCATTAGGCTATGGCAAGAATGCCAACACTATAGACCAATTCTTTTAGGCCAATCAATTATGTATACAAGCCATGAGTCTTGGTCCAAATAGACTACTGCAATTGAATTGATTATGAATACAAGCCACAACACATTTGCAAGAATCAATTTTACAATCAATTGTACAAGACAATTTATAAAAACAAAGTGTTTTATAATTGATTGTTTAATTGATTATGTAAGCATTTGTCATTCCAACTCAATTGAAAGCCAATCAATTGTTCATAAAATCCAAGTATCCACTTTTTTTTATGTTGACATAGTTCTTGTTGCAAGTTATATTTTTTTGCATTCAAGAGGTTTGTAAAATGCATCATAGAAGCAATTTGTTACAAACTAGTATTTGATCAACTAGTATGGACAAATGCCGTGAAAAAAGGATATCATAGTATTCAAGAAATACTATCAAAGAGCTAGCAATTACTAAAAGATTTTTATCGTAACACTTAGTGAATACAATGAAATATCTTTAACAGCAAAATTAGCCAAAATTCTATTTTCATCCAAATATATAAAAACACTCAACTAAAAAAATATAAAAATTCAATTCATTAAACACAAACTCCGATAACAATAATTATATCGTCCTCACAAAATAGTAGGGAAAAAAGTTCTATTTGCTGACTAAATTTTTTATCGCTAAATATATATTTACCGCGACGAAACCATTTTATAGCTAAAACAGTTTAGTCGCCAAAAGTGATATTTTCCCGACTAAATATGTTAGTCGCCAACTGTCACATTCCACAACGAAACATGTTAGTCGCCAATTGTTACATTCCGCAACGAAACATATTAGTCACCAAAAGTCACATACCACAAAACATGTTAGTCACCAAAAGTAATATTTGTGTGACTAAAACTTTAGTTGGCAATAAACCTATTCGTGACCAAACACTTTGGTTGCCAAAATTAATAATTTTACCGACTATTTATTTAATAGCCAAATGTACCTTTTGCCAAACAACATTTTGATTGCTAAATATGAGTGGTGTGACACTGACTAACAATATTACTTGTCTTTCCCGACTAATCACTTAGTCACCAAAAGAGAAAAAACAAAACCAATTTTTGATCTCCAATTCAATCCTTTCTGTTTATCAAACTATAATAATTCATTCAATCCATTCAATATAGCCTCTATGTTGCAAGAATAATTCAAACTAACAAAATCAATTGAATCATGAACATCTAACAAAATATATAAATCATCCAATTCTTAAACCTTTTTAATTAAAATCATCAACTATTTTAAGTTTTAATCTAGAAATAATTCAAAATTACATAATCGTCCAATCCAAAATGTCACGTAATCTATATAATCATCCAATTCACGTCCATCTAGCTTAAAAATTTAAAACATAACAAGTACTTGTTATTATGTTGTAAATTTTTATCCATACGCATTTATTTAAAAATATAACTAATGGTCTACCCAAATATTTTTCTTACACATCCAAAAATATATAATCTTTCAAAAAATGAAACAAATGCCAACTAGTCCTGTACAATTTCAGCTTGTTACACGAGTTCATCCATCTGTACCAAAAAAAAAAAAGATAAAAAAAATGTCAGGTAATGTTTTTATGAAAATATTTGCACATCAAATGATTGTAAAATTGGACCCCAAAAAAAAAAAAGATCTATGGAAAGTAGCTAGGTAACATGAACAAGAAAGTAAAGGTAAAAATTAAAATGATACTTTTCATATTCTTTCCTCACATTTTTGTCTCTAATTCTCTAACCGTGTTTCCTAGTAACACGCCACTTGCTCTCAAAAGTTTGTTTAATCTAGGCTGAGGTGACCGTGGTGATCTCAAGGCTGCTTCCAATTTCCCCCCCCCAAACGGCCCGTTTTTGCCTTTTTTCTCACATGTTTTTGTCTAAATCTCTAACCGTGTGTCCAAAGAATTAAGGCCAAGTTAAAGAGACAATAGTAAAAGTAAAACAAAGATTCAAAGGCTTCTCAAAGTCATAGTATAAAAGGAACACAACTCACCTGAAGAGAAATTTAAATATATGTTCCAAGGGGTTGACATTCTTGGCAAGAAATCATCCTAGAAACATTAAGTTGAGATGGCATGTTAGTACACTATTAGAGCAATATTCGCTAGATAAATTTAACCCATATTCAAAAACTCAACAACCAATTAAACAAAAGTTAAGAGTTGAGTGATGTGAAATTTTATAAGAGTGTTCCTAACTATTTTCTAATTATATTTTTGGTAATAACAGCCACATGCATCCACATACATTCACTTCAACTTGCCTCATTCAAAAATTTAAAATTACACATCACAAACAAGAAGAAACGATAATCTAGACCCTTTCATTAATATGGAAAATCATATTGGCAATTTAGCATACATTCTAGAAGAAACAATTTAACATTAATTTTTCTTTAAATTTCTTAAAGAATATATTGTATAAATTGATAAAATGTTTAACTATTGTTTTTTTTTATAATTGTATTAAAGACTCCTATATGTAAATCCACAACAATTGACAAATTAATGTTTATAAATTATAAATCCAGAATGGCACACCAAAAGGTAGTGGTATGCTCATGATAACTAATTGATACACAGGTACTTCACCTAAAATTCCGATCGAATATGAGAAACTTAACCTTCAAGGTTGGAGAAAATTTGGAAGAGACATACAAACTACTAGCTTTTCCTTTGAAACTTATAATCAAACATGAAGAGTGAATTGATTGCAATATTACCTGACTACTATCCCCGTCCACAAGATCACTCGTGGCAATTCTACGCTCATACTCAACCAGAGGCCCTGCTTTGCTTACTTCTACAATCAAAAATTAAACCCAAATCAAAATGTGAACATCATGCTAAAGATTATTTTAAAAAAATTAAAAGGACAGAAAAACAACCTCCTCGTCACAAAGCCAAACCCTTGGCTTCTTCCACTTATCTTGCCATAGTGCTTCACTTTATCAACCACCTCTGATGGAGTCAATTTTGCACCCCATTTATAGTAGAGATTCTAAAAGAAGAATGAAATCGTAACAAATAAAAAAAATATGAACAAATTTAAAGCCAACAACCTTATATATTTAATCATGCATAATGAAACAAGCTCACTTAATCTTCTGAAAGTTGAATGTCAAAAAGTTTCACGCTTGAGATATACCAAGACTTCTATTTACAACGAATTTTTCTAATAATATTTTTTAATGTCAAACTTATATTTACAACATGCATTGATATGTCAAACTCATGCATGCATAACCTAAATATATCCTTCGAATGATTTCATATATGGAAGCTTATAAATAATGATGCTTTCTATTTTGAGGTCTTACTTAAGTATTAGGAAATTTAAAACAAACCTGGAACATGGATACAGGACCACAGTGGAAAATCTTTCACAACCTTCTGTAGACTGAAAGTTCCTCATATGTCAATCCCATGTCCACTTCACCCAGCTGTTCCACACCCTAAAAAAAAAATGTAGCTCAGATTTTGACCTACATAACTCTAGGAACTTCTTTTGATTCCAGATGATAACCAACAAAAATGTAATCTTGAAAGAAGCTTTGCATGCCGTCAACATCAAGAACATCAATGCATTAATGAAATAAAATTTGACAGCAGAAGAAATACACATACAAGAAGAACAAAATATCAAGGACAAGAATATAGAAATGTGCTTAATTCAATACCTGGCTGTAGTTGGACCGTATAGGCTCCAATTCAGCAGTGGGGGGAGCAGCTTCAATTTCTGCTAAAGATGCATATCCAAGATGGGTGGCAGCTGTAGACACCCCATTTTTGACCGGCCTCAAGACTTGGACATCACCATTGGAACACTCGGTGATCATCTATGATTGTGTTCGTCTTGAGTGCCCGGAGGTCTCGGTTACGCGCCTTGCCTCAGGATCTCTCGACTCGACTGTTTTGTGTCTGGTTTTGCACCAAACACTTGTGTTTTGCCTTGGAGGGGCAGGGAATGCCTTGTGAGGCATCCCCACACATCACCGGCCATGACTCAAGGCCACCGGCCAGTGATTTTATGCCATCGGCAATATATATTGCCGGTCGGCATTCTTTGTTGCCGATCGGCCATT